TCTCCCGATGTTTCAAAGACCAACAGCTTGAAGCTGTTCATGCAAATTTGTACTCTGCCACCATCCAAATCAACATCATGGACTTCACCAATTACTTGTCAAATACTCATGAATGTCGGTTCAGCCCAAAATGAAATAGGACTCCCATCATATGGACCCAAAAAGTGAGAGCACAAGGATAACTCGGCTCCATTAACGGCTCCCAACAAACTAGACACCATCCATCCATCAAAATGGAAAGGTTCCATTTGTAATACTGCAGTGATGTCTTCCTCTTTATCAAAATCAAACTGGAATCGCCCCATACCGAGATGAGTTCCCGCAACTATATCCTACACCGTCCAAATACATGGCAGCATAATAAAGAGTGACTTCATCTCCTACGCCACTGAGTTCATGCATCTCCCAATGAGGGTACTTGAGTAACCCTTGATCAACTCTGTGTTGTCAAACCTTGGTACCGTAATCTTCAGTCTTGTTGCAAGTGTGTCCTTGCCCTTGTTACATCTGCCAGAAACAGCACGCACGGCTTGCTTGAGACATGGGAAAAACTGTAAGGCATAGAGTAATAAAAATATATAAGAGAAAATCCATTCAAAAACAAGGTGAGATATATTTGAAACACCTGTTGCTAAGGCCGATTATATAACATATTACACCAAGAAATCTTCCAAAACTAGTTACCATTCTTATTTTTCTTAACTGAGAAACCATATCTCACTGATTGTAGTAATCAAGTCGATAGATATTACATAAATATCCCATTACCGCAGCCATTTTTGGAAGCCGTTAATTGCCATTAAGCCTTTGCATCTTGGATCTCCCAATAAACCTCATATGATTTGTCCAGCTTGCTAATTGAAACCGAGACTTCCGAATTCAATTGACTAAGATCCTTGATTCTTCTGCATCCCATAAATAATCCACCTTTCTAAGACCTCCATCTTCTCCCAAATCAACCCAGATATGTTCAAGAACCCATTTATTTCTATTGATCCCAAAAATAAAAATCACCAAAAATACCTATTAACTTTATCAGGCTAGAGAGTGTTTCTATAAGTTGTTCCTCTGTTAAAACTAGAGTTGGTACCCGAATTACATATAGGAGTGTAATCGTTACCTTATCCAGTACTGAATCCTCATAATTTTCCAAAATCACGATCCACAGTCGCCATATCCCAAGTGGGAGGCTTAATATAGAATCTGATTTTGTAGTTGCCAGCTAATTTATCTTCCTTCAGAAAACCCAAAGACTCGAGTGTCTGAATTTGAGTGTAATGTGCGTCTATTGAAAAATTCGAGAACCTAAAGCTCCCAATATTCTCCGAGCTTCTCCTTAGTAGTTAACATCCCAATCGAGAACCTTAATCTATGATTTTGAATCCCATCCGCAAACTTAAAAAGAACATATGATCCTGAATCTGAATAGATCTTGCCTTCATCTTTATCACAATTCAATTATCATCGTCATACATTATTATTATTTTTTCTTGTATTTTTTATTAAAAAAACAAACAAAATTAAAAAAATGTAATTAAAATATATATAGTTAATAATTAATAGCTGTCATAAAAAGAGTTAATAATTAATAATAAAACGAAAATATATAATTAATTTTTTTTAAAATTGAAAATATCATAATAAATTGAAAAGAAATCTAATTCTATTTTAAAATAAAAATAAAATAATATATTGGCAATGTTCTAATAATCTTCTCGAGATTAGACACTGAAACATATTCATTCTAAAAGAAAGTTGTGTTTGCCTAATACACTTGTTTTTATATAACTAAAGTTCGGAGATTTCTGCCTAAATGTTCCGACAAATTAGAAACTTGAATGAGTAAGATGGTTCGACTTATACAATTGTATAAAATTAAAATTTCAAAATCGCTATGCAAATATAGATAAGATTATTAGTTCATCTATCTTATTATATAAATTTGAATACATTAAAATTAGTAATTTATATAATTGTGATACATGGTGAGTAATTCGATCAGATTTTTACATGTGTCACGATTAAATTAAAAATAAAAATATATATAAAATGGTATATTTCATTTTATAAAAACAAAATGACTTAAAACACTAATTCTAATAAAAGAAAAATACAATTTGAAAAAAAAAACAAAGTTAATAAAATGAAATATTTCAATTTAGAAAAAGGAAAAAAAGAAGCTAAAACACTAATCTTAAAAGAAAAAAATAAACAGTCCACATCTATATAAACACATAAAAATCTCTCATAATTTTTTACTAAACAAAATAATACTTTTTGACCTTCATTATATATATATATAATATTTTTTTTATTTTATTGTATTATTATTATTAAAAAAACTTTATACGATATTTTAAATTTTTATCCATTATTACTCGTTCTGTATTTCAAATTTTTATCCTTTAAGATTTGTTTGCTGAATATTGTATACATCTAAAGTGTTTCCAGTATTTAATAATTAGACAATTCCAAAATAATCATATACAAAGTTCACCGATGAAAACTGTCCGCCTGAGAAGATGATTTTGGTGAGGATTTACAGAATCGTCATGGTAGATTTTTCATATATGTAGATATGAAAATGGTGGTAAATTAGTTTGACAGATTATATTTTTTTGGTATTGAATATGGTTGTGGTGGTAGAGTTATAATATGTCATATATAGTGGTGGTAAATATTTTCTTTGTTAATTTAAAATTTTTATATTGATTTTTATTTTAATTGTATTTTAATTTAACTTTTATTTTGTTTTTTTTAGTTAAACTTTTAATATATTGATTTTTTCAGTAATTAGCATAAATCATCATTTTTTTTTGTTACTTAGCCTTTTTGTGTTAATTTTCTAAAACAATTAGGCTAAATATCAAGTTTTAGATAACTTTTTCCTTTGTTAATTTAACATGAATATTTTTATTTTTATTATTGATAATTTTAAATAAAAATTTTATATGTTTATATACCAGTATTACCTTATTATTGTTTCCTTAATATTTTTGTAATATCATATGTTTATATAACAATTTAACTTTAATATTTTACTAAATTTAAATAAATTACTATTTGAAAATATATAAGTTAAAAATTTTCTTTTATAATTTATCTTTTTCGTGATTGATGTATATATCTAATTTTTGTTAGTTTAGCTTTTGTGACATTGAGTTTTATTTTATCTAAAATTGGGATTTTGTTGTCTTTTCCAATTTTGTTCCCTAACTTTGCAAAGTTATTCTAGGAACTCAGCTATAGAATGATGTTAATCTAGTCAATACCATATATTTAAGGTTATTTTAGATAAATAACTTTAGATTTTATTATTTGATTAAAGTTAATTTAGTCAAAATATAGACAAAAAATTAAAAATAACAAACATATAGTGAAAATGTCCTTTTTCTAATTTGTTTCAAATACGGTTGATCAATATGTTTTTTTTTAACCACTACTAACCGATTTACCGAACAGCCCGGCAGCCTCATCAAGTTATATAGACATTGCTCATCCTCTGGTAAATAAAAACATGAAATGAAATTCACTCGTGATGATAAATAAATCATTTCGTAAAATGCTACCGAACAGCTATAGAGACCAAAACTAAACTTAACGATAAAATATGAAGACTTTTATTGTTTTTTTGTTAAAGTGACAAAATATAAAGACTTTGACTCAATATATACCAATGACAATATATATGAAATTATCTTTTAATAATATAAGTTTTTGGTGTTTATCAAAATGCCATACGCCATTACTTTGTTTCCTTTTCATATATTTTCACAGTGTAAGATCCGATTGTCTCATTTATTTAAGAGAATATTTTTATAATAAAATTTCAAACTATCTTTTTTTTTTTGAGAAATTTTCTCAAATGCACCTAATCTAAGTTTTTGTTCCATATATACACTAACACTTTAAAAAATTCATTCCATAACGTTTTGTATCATATTAGTTAGACAAAACATTAGTTAATAAAAAGAGAAGACAAATAATGTACAAACAAATGTATGAATGGCGAAAGCTGATCTAATATTTGAATCATTTGTTTTATTTAGGATCGCTCTTCTCATTTGATTGTGATTTGTGATTGTAAATCTCTTAGATATTTTTGGTTTTTTTTATGAAAAAAGTGATTTCGGAATTTAAAGCTCAAAATCATATAATGATAGACAGATCTGATATAATTGGGTGAAAAACTCAAAAAACACGAGCTAAAACAACAGCAATGGTGAAAACGAAAAATCGGCGGAAATTAGGGTTTGGATGTCGCAGATGTGAGGAATGAGATGAGTGTAAATTTAGGAAGATATTATAAAGTTTTAGAAAGACTTTTCTCAAATGTATAAATTAAGGAAGTCATTATATGTATTTACAAATGCATTCGTAAATCGTATAATTGATTATTACTTTTGTTAATTTATACAACTCAAATTCAAAAAGCTCTTCCAGAAAGCCTTTCCACAATTCAGGAAACACTTCCACAAGTCAGGAAACACTTTCACAATTCAGGGAGCCCTTCCACAATTCAGAAAATTTTAGAAAATTTAGGAAATATTTTCTAAACCATATGAAACGATGTTAAATTCTAATATTTGGAAGATCTTCCAAAAAATCACGAAACATTAACAGAAAAAACTTTTAGGAAGACTTTCCTAAAGGTTAGAATCGGAAAACTCAAATAAAAAATGTTAGGGGTGGAAAATTTTTAGTTTCCCTGTTATATTTGTTCTGAAAACTTATTTTCAATGTAATTATGGAAATTATCTTTTTTTTTTAACATTACCCGGCAGACTCATCAAGTTATATAGACATTACTCATCCTCTAGTAAATAAACGCATGAGATGAAATTCACTCAAATTCAAACTATCTTCCACTCGTTCACAATATTAAAATCTTTTACAATAACCATATTTGTTCCCTATATTTTACAGTGTATTCTACTATAACAATTCTAGCCTATATAACTCGAATACATGAATCCGAAAGGATATAGAGAAAGCAAAACTAGCTAGAGAGAGAGAGAGACAGAGAGAGAGATATGAGAAAGAACACTTGTTCAAAATTAGGTCAAGTGATCATTGTTGTTGTTCTAATTTACCGTACTGAAGCTGCGCTTCGTCTTCCTCATGAACCACTTTTAATCACCGGTTAGTAGGACATTACACTTTGTACTGTACACACGTATATACACAAAACACATATACATATATAAATCAAATGATGTGTATTATTTGTTTGAAATATTTGCTAGTTACTGTATGCATGAAAAAAATAAAACTCAGTTGAGGTTAGGCCAGAAAGTTCTTTTTTTTTTAAAACGGTTTTAGCGTATTTTACTTTCTATATTTTTTATATGACCAGTTTCGCTTGGTCACGCCAATTCCTCTAAATGTTTTTGGTTAGTCTAACATCTACAATGATTATTGTTTAAATTGAAATAAAGGAAGGAGAATGATGGCATATAATCAGAATGCTATCATCGGAACTCCACCATCACAAAGTCAACCTGGTGGTAGAAAAGGTACTCAAGTTACCATTCTATCAATTATCAATCTATTCTATGCTTGTAAACGAGCACCTTTATTTTCCACTTCGAATTCTTAATGTTTATTTATTATATGCAGGGCCGGGGAAGATTGATGATTCAAATAAGCCACATATGTACATAGGCGCAGGATCATCATCTGGTGGTGTTTCTCCCTAGTTTTTGGCTCACTGCATATTATCCTTTTCCAATAATAAAAAGGCAGTACGTAGGCTTTGAAAAATAACAAGGATATATATATGAAGTTAATATTTCGTTTCTATTTCCAATTGTAAGGCTTTCCAAGGTCGCAAAGACTGTATAATCTATGTTTCTGTAGCATATTTGGTATTTTAAAAGACTTATAATTCAAAAGTAAACTTTCTTTAGTAGCCCTTGATCGAAGCCAAGGAGATTTATAAGAAGATATATGTTGTCTACCTATCGTGTGTGTATCCCATCACGGATATCAACATCACCACGAAACTAGCTGCAAGTGGCCTCAGTTTGAGAATTTTCTCCATATATCTACTTCTCGGCATGCCTCCCGTATTATTAACCGAGCGAAGCGATACATAAATTGGTATTTTTCGGATGTTAAACTCATCAATCAACTAGGATTAACAATAAGTTTTTGTATAAAGGGATTGTATTTGTATATGCATCCAGTAAGAAACATTGTGATACTTAGAAAAGACATAGGACATTTTTTACTCTTAAGACATAGGAAATTCACTGAACACTATAATATTTTATGAGATATTATATATTGACTTACGTTTACATGAATTGAAACTCAAAATTTCAGTGAGACTTATAATTCAGTTTTGATCTGTATTTCAATCTATAAGCAATATCTTCGTTTAGATAACTAATGTTTTTAAACCTAATATCAAACTAAATAGAAGAACATACTCAAACTATTGAAGTTTATTTACATATATATTTTTTTTCACAAGATCTTATACATGTTAACTAATAGACTATTTAGTTTTTCTTTTTCTTGTTTTTCGCATAAATACCGTTGCAGTAATAGAAAGCAGCACAAACACTATTATTGAAGAAAACCGGTGGAAGTGGCCGTCGGTTCACTTTGAAAGCACTATTATGACTAATCAAATTCTTTCATTCCCCGTACGCCTTATGAAACTCTCCATCTGTTAATAACACGTACAACCTTATGCATATGTGGATGCTATTTTTGTGCTGTGATTATTTGAATGAAAGCCAGACACAGTTTTAGTAGAGATTCAACTTGGAACTGTGTATTTACTCTGTAGACTATTCTTTTTATAACCGATTTTTTATACCGAACATCAAAATAATCCCATGCCAAATATATATCAATTAGAGAAATTGCATCTTATATCCATATTACAAGATAAATTTAAGAAGTAACCATGGTAAATGAATGGCTAGAATATCATGTATATAATATGTATTAAAGACAAAAAGTGCTTTTATCTGATTCTCTTTCTTTCCTTTTCTTTCTCGTCTCTTTTCCTTTCTCAAATGTCATTTTTATTGATTCACAACCACAAATATTTTAGTGTTGAAAACAAAAATGGCCGATCTATTCAAAGACTTATTAGATAATTATGTTTCCTTTTCTTCTTCTCCATCGAAAATGGCGATCAACTGTGATGATAATGAACCTGGAATAAGAGATAGATATGTAATTAGTAAATACTTAATCATATAGTTGCAATCCTATATATAGTTGTAACCCTCCCTTAATAAGATTATTTATATTCTAAACTTATATGGTATTAGAAAATTATACGTGACCACTACACCTGTTATATGTGGCTTTATCATCTCGCCCATAAATCACAAGTCAAAGTTGTTTTTTACTGTCTTCAAACAATTGGTTGAGAATTATTTTCAAGCCTTACAGACTATGGAGCTGAATAGATGGCATTAAGGAGTTACCTTACTAAACATGGGATTTCTCATCTCACGACGCCACCATACACGCCCCAGCATAATAGTGTTTTAGAACATAAGCACAAACACATTATCGAGATTGGCCTCTCCCTGCTTTCTACAGCTGCAGTCCCCAAAGAATATTGGTTGTATGCATTTGCTACAGATGTGTATTTGATCAACCGATTACCAACACCAGTACTATCAAATCACTCTCCATATCAGAAGATTTTTGGAATATCTCCCAATTATCTCAAACCTCTAACCTTAGGATTTTTCTATTTTCCTTGTCTGCGTCCCTACGCAGGTCACAAAATGGAAGATCGATCAAAACCGTATGTATTTTTTAGCTACTCGCTAATGTAAAGTGCATATTTTTATTATGATGCATCCACTAGAAGGATATACACGTCTCGTCATGTTCATTTTGATGAAGCAACATTCCCCTTCAAGCGTAAACACACTCTGCCACCAACAATTTTACAACCTCCACAATCAATTCAGTCGTGGGACACGACGCTCCCGCCCATTCAAGTTCATCACGTTCTGCCTACTATGCCCCTGTGATCCGGTTCTCACCCCTCTCCGGCTCCACCAACGATAACATTGCCAGCTCCGCCATCTTTCTCACAATCTCAGGTATTACCTTTTTCAACTCTTCTCTCACTATCTCTCAACAATCCCCAAAGGCTCACTGGCCAAGCCCAAAACCCAAATAACCAAACGGAACCCATCCAACCTTCCTCCACCAATGAAAGGCTTACTGTCCCAAACCCAAATATTAAACAACCAAACTACAATTACCCAGCCCACCACCACCATCCAAAGACCCACTGGTCAGTTGTCTACAAACCTCATCACGAGACCACAACCTCCGACATAACCATCAAGACTGCTGCAGAAACCTAAAACCAACAAACCTCCACAAATCCCCCATAACATGCGAACTCGCGCCCAAGATGACATTGTCAAGCCTATCGATAATCTTTATCTCATGGAAACCCTTCACAATCTCATATCTTCTGAATCCACGACATATGCTCAAGCTCTCAAAGACGAGCGATGGTGCAATACTATGTCAGTAAAAATTGATAGTCAAATTGAGAAAGAAACCTGGAATCTAGTTCTGCCGGCTCCTCATCAAAATGCCATTGGCTGAGGTTGGGTCTTCAAAACAAAAGTTATTCCCAATGGTGAACTTGACAAGTACAAAGCACTGTTGGTAGCTAAAAGCTTTCACCAGCAGTATGGACTTGAGTACAAAGACGCAAAGCTTTCACTATTTGCTTGGTCCTTGATCATGCTAAAGGAAGAAGTCTATATGGCTCAACCTTCTGGTTTTGTTGATGTTGGTTGACCACACCATGTGTGCATGTTGAATAAGGCGATTTATGGGCTTAAGCAAGCTTCCCGTGCCTGTTATATTGAGCTCAAGACATTTCTCCTTGACTCTGGTTTTGTCAACAGCTTTGCAAATGCCTCACTCTTTGTCTACAGTCGTGGCGCCATTCTCATCTACATTTTGGTCTATTTTGATGACATCATCATTGCTGGTAACAATAGCGATGTAGCCACTCAGATGATAGCATGTTTAGCCCATAGATTCTCGCTCAAAGATCAAACTGATATTCATTATTTTCTTGGCATAGAAGTCACTCACACAAGTGAAGGTGTCCATCTGATGCAACGGAAATATATCTACAACCTGTTCACTAAGACAAACATGTTAGGGGCTAAAACCATTGCCACACCAATGCAGGCCTTGCCGAATCTGTCTCTACACTCAGGTACTGCTCTTGATGATGCCTCATACTATATAATGTTCATTGGCAGCTTGCAGTATTTAGCTTTTACCAGACCAGATATCTTCTACACTGTTAATAGGCTTTCTCAGTTTATGCATCGCCCAACAACAGATCATTGACAAGCAGCTAAGAGAATTTTTGCTACCTCGCCGGAACGATGACCCATGGCATTCTTCTGTAGTCTAATAATCTCCTCAACTTACATGCCTATTCAGATACCGATTAGGCAGGAGATATTGATGATTTCGTATCCACCAACGCCTATGTTGTCTATCTTGGCAAACAAGTTATATCATGGTCTTCAAAGAAACATAATGGCATCGTAAGATCTTCAACAGAAGCAGCAGAGTATATGACCATTGCAAATATTGCTGCTGAGGTTTCTTGGATCTGCAATCTTCTTACGGACCTAAACATTCATTTACCCAAGGTGTCTGTCATCTATTGTGATAACATATGTGCCAAACTTCTAACCTTCAGATTTCTCTGTTTCCCTTGGCTGCGTCCCTACACAGGTCACAAAATGGAGGATCGATCAAAACCGTATGTATTTTTTGGCTACTCGCTAATACAAAGTGCATAGTTTTATTATGATGCATTCACTAGAAGGATATACATGTCTCGTTATGTTCCTTTTGATGAAGCAACATTCCCCTTCAAGCTTGAACACACTCTGCCACCAAAAATTTTACAGCCTCCACAATCAATTCAGCTGTGGGACACGACACTCCTGCCCATTCAAGTTTATCACGTTCTGCCTACTCTGCCCCTGTGATCCAATTCTCACCCCTCTCCGTCTCCACCGACGATAACATTGCCAGCTCCGCCATCTTCCTCAAAATCTCAGGTATTACCTCTATCAACTCTTCTCTCATTATCTCTCAACAATTCCCAAAGGCCCACTGGCCAAGCCCAAAGCCCAAATAACCAAACGGAACCCAGCCAACCTTCTTCCACCATTGAAAGGCTTACTGTCCCAAACCCAATTCTAAACAACCAAACTACAATTACCCAGCCCACCACCACCATCCAAAGACCCACTGGTCAGTTGTCTACAAATCCCATCCGAGACCATAGCCTCCAACATAGCCACCAAGACCGCTGCGGAAACCTAAAACCAACAAACTTCCACAAATCCCCCATAACATGCGAACTCGCGCCCAAGTTGATATTGTCAAGCCTATCGATAATCTTTATCTTATGAAAACCCTTCACAATCTCATATCTTCTGAATCCACGACATATGCTCAAGCTCTCAAAGACGATCGATGGCGCAATGCTATGTCAGTAAAAATTGATAGTCAAATTGAGAAGGAAACCTGGAATCTAGTTCTGCCGGCTCCTCATCAAAATGTCATTGGCTGCGGTTGGGTCTTTAAAACAAAAGTTATTCCCAATGGTGAACTTGACAAGTACAAAGCACTGTTGGTAGCTAAAAGCTTTCACCAGCAGTATGGACTTGAGTACAAAGACGCAAAGCTTTCACTATTTGCTTGGTCCTTGGTCATGCTAAAGGAAGAAGTCTATATGGCTCAACCTTCTGGTTTTGTTGATGTTGGTTGACCACACCATGTGTGCATGTTGAATAAGGCGATTTATGGGCTTAAGCAAGCTTCCCGTGCCTGTTATATTGAGCTCAAGACATTTCT